GATACATTCACAATGTATTTCAAGTAAGATGGGACCCATACCCAAACTCTTTTGTAGACTTAAAAGTCACATCAGGTGCAGAGGTGCATCACAACAGTGCCATTTTTTGTAGCGTGCCAGTCAAGACCCCTCATACACACCTTGGCATGTGATTTTAATAAGCTATACACCGTTTGGGTCCTTGACTGGAAGGAAGATTAATGTTTCTGAGAGCGGATGAGGGTGTAGCCCTGCAGGTAATGCTGAAACATGCTGCTGAGCATGATTCCCTTAAGCAGTCCCACTTCCCTTCCTTTATTTGCCAAGAGCAAACTGAAGCCCCCTCATACAAGCAGCAGCACCACAGGCAATGCAATCGACATAACTGACAGCTGTTGCTTCATTGCCTGAAGACTTTGAAAACCACCTATAATTTAAAAAGAATCTTCAGGCCATTGTGTTCCTAAATTTCTCTACCAATGTACCACTCACAGCATGTAAGACCTAGAATTATCTCTTCCCCTTACTATAGTACAAAATTAAGATTAAAATATAAATAGCAGTTCTCTCTTGGCTTGAATGCTGCAGCTATTTAGCCCTCTCTCAGCCTGCAGACATGGGTAGCTATTGTCTAGTAAAGACACATTTTAAAGAAGTGACTGCTACTTATTTCTTCCCGTATTTGTACCATTCACTGAATTTAATCTAGAATGAATAAGAAGTACCCAGCACATACCTCACTTTTGATCCCATATGGACTTGCTCTGTGATTTCAGGATATATAAGTCCTAGTCCTGTTCAGCTAAAACATGTTAGGAGCTTCTGGAACATGCTCAACTTCATCTCACTTCTGAAGAAAGGGTGTCTTTTGATTCATGCTCTAGATTGGGACTTAGAAAATTAGAGGTTAAATATTTTTGCTGTGTACCAGACAAGCTGCATAACTTTGAGAAAATAATTTATACCTGTGTTCCTAAAAGCATGTAATTTGTAGAAATGTGGGAAGACAGTATTTTCATATATATACTGGACATAGTGGAATAAAGCATTTTAAAGACAATTGCTTAGTCTATAGAACTAGAAGAGTTAACTGTACTGTTTCAGCCTGGAACATATGGATCCTGCTGTGTGTAACTGAATCTCTTTCAGTTCCAGAAGCACTTGGAACCAAATCACTGTGTATAAATGTGATTAAATAAACAACAAATATATATACATTCCTTTCCCCCTCCTTTTTTAATCTCCAGTAGTATTTTGGATGCTATGATTTTTTTTTCAGTGCAAGGTTCTATTGAGTTTTAATTGTTTGAAGTTGGGATGTTAGAAGAGCTTTCTGTTGCTGCTAAGAAGCTGTTCTAGATACCAAGTTGGGTATGATCAGTCCTGATCTGAAATGATAGAATATTCATTTCTGTAGCACTTTGGGATGACAAACTAATCTTATTTTTCCAGAATTTCTAGACCATCAGTGAAAGTTTCAGATGCCTTTAAAAAACAAATGAGACACAAAACAATACTAGTTATGCCTAGCAAAAGTTATAGGTGCTAATTCTGATTCAACAACACTCCTGCTTCACATCAACTTCTACTAGATACTTGCTAAGCCCATTGGCTTTCTCTTAAACCACTTGCCCTTTAGGACATATTAATGTAGATACCTGGCATATTGCTATTATAGCAAGGGAAGGAAAGGGGCTCTGAGTAGTCATCAGAAGTAAGGGGTGCATAACAGCATCTGTGGCTATTTGAGAGTTGCAGCTACTACCACACCTATAAAACCATGCCCTCGCCTGCTGAGTATGATAGTTTGGATTACTAGAAATATGGAGATCTGCAAGCAAAACAATCTGTCACCATAATGGAGAAGGCATAGGTTACTGAAATGACAGTTGTTACAGTACGATGTTGCTAAATGCAAGACATGATGGACGAAGCGGTTCCCAAAGGAAGAAAAGAATACAACACAGATTAGAGTGAGCCCAGGGCCGTTTGAGTTGGCTTTACTTGGCAATCTTATAAAATTTGAAGAAATTATGTGGCAGTTCCTACTACTAATGGAGTGTCTTGCACTTAGTATTTTTCAAAGCTGTCCTCCTACTTTTGCTGAGAAACCGGAATCCTAATGAAGAATACTTGTCTGTTCAGTCATGTTTCTCCCTCTAGCTCCATCTTACATGACTTCTTTTTCAACTAAAGATAACTGAAAGTTCACACAGCTCTTTTCTGAGAATCATTATGGAGAAAATGTGACAAAACAAAATGTTGAATTTGTTTTATCATTCAAACAAACCACTTCCAAGATCTCAGTGATGCTAAAATATTAGAATAAAATGAAATGGAGTGCAAAGAGGCACAAGGGATTTACACATGAAAAGTCAACAGAAAAGAAGCTTGAAAAAATTTATTTAAGGCTATCATTTAATGTCCTTAAAGCTTAGCCTTTTTATAACAAAGGTTTTAAGAGGGATATTCACTTCTCAGGCATTTGTAACTGCCAGCTCCGTACAAATAACACATGTAATTGGTGATTGAATCATTTGTGTGTAGAAGTCAACTTTTTAGAAAAATAATTTTATCATTAAATATAAATGGAGTTACTGCAGTCCTAATAAATGGAAAATATGAAGATATGGAACTTTCGTAGTCTTAAAGCTTTTAAGGTAGCCATCCCTTAGACAATAGGTTTTCCATATATAAACCTTTGGCAACACTAAACTATAGTACAATTATTTCCTGGCATGCAAGGTGACATAGCTTTGTTACACCCAATGTAAATGACAGAATACAGATTTCAGAATCTCTTAATAACTGGCAGTTGATGCAATGAAGATCTTCATTTATCCCATTTTTATTCTGCATTTTTACTAGTATTCTCCCAGAAGGTCCCTGGAAAAAAAAGCAGCAGCAATTAGGACATATTATAAATCTCCCAAGGTTTATGAAATATGTGTGGAACATCTTTTTTCTGTTTAAGAGTTAGGAGATGTTAGTTCCACAGACCCCTCAATGTCTCTAATAACAGACTGAACACAATTATTCCTAAAGGAAGAGCTTTTGAATGGTTTCTAATAGATTATTTTTCTAAATTTTTTGTTTCAATACTGAACTACAAAAAACACAAAAATATTAAAATGTTAATAAAAACTGTATTTTAACCACAGCTTCTAATTTTTTTGGAGACTATATTGGTTGTTTCAGATTTCCAAGATCAACTAGTCATTTTGAGTGCTTCAGTAGTCCAAAGACTAAATGTAATGAATTTTTACAGAGTGGACACCGAACATTCTAAAAAAATCTGGCCACTCACATGTGCCTTGAGTTGGCATTTTATTTTTTTTTAAACTCTTTGTTAATGTTAACAAATAGTTCTTTAAATATTAACCAGTTCACAGAGCTCAGATAGGAAATGTTGCTTTGCCAACAGCATTTGCCTATATACAGGCAAATTAAAACAGGGTTATTAAATAGTTAGCCATCAGGAACTCAGATTACAGTACCCTATTTCCTAATGACAAGTGGAAAGTTTTATTTTTCGATAACTTAATATGACCTTACTTCTGACAACATTCAGTGGCAAAACTCCCCTCCAGTTAAATAGGAAACTATTAAATAGGTTCACCACTGATGCAAAATACAAATTATGTTTGGAATGATTTCTGTTTGGTGTCTTATCCTTGTTCAGCACAGTCTGTATCAAAGTTTGTAACACAGTTACAGATATGTCAATAGTTAAGAGAAAAATTAGCAGCATTTAAAACTCCAGTATATTAAGAATAGCACAGTCAAAATTCAGGCACCTTTGGGTAACTTTTGTGTTAATCAGCCATTTTAGGAACTCTTTGGCAGCCATGTCATCAAGGACTTTGTTGATATCGCTCGTGAAAGTGCCATCTGCATGTCTTCGGCCCATTTCTTCGGCCACAAGAGCTTTTTCTGGGAAACTTCAAAGGGAAGAAATTATCAATCAATTTGCAGATCAAAATAAACAAACCATTTAAAAGGACCTCATTACAGGATTCTAATACACTACACATTTCCTGTGATTTTAAGGAGTTAAGGATTGAGCCTGATGTTACGGCTCAATATAGCATGATGTCTATCAGAACATCTTTTGAGGCATTATTTTCACAACAGAATAAAGCAGGGAAGTCTCCCTTTACCAGATGAGGACTGTTCCCTCAGGTGAGACTAAATTCCTCTCTAGCATTTTTGAAAAAGCCATACATGTCAAAACATACCTCAGCCTGCAATATCTGTGCCAAGTAGATTAGGCATCAATAAAACTTACAGTAGATTTACTAAGAAACATTATTTAAGAAAAATCATTAGTAAAACATTATAGTCAAATTTTCATACATTTTTTCTGTTTTAATGGGGCTTAAGTCCTGGTTATATACTTACAATTATATTGCATAAGTATTTAGATGTTAAAAGCAGCAACTTTTTTGGGGGGTTAAAATAACTCAATTACAACACCTGTAAAAAATCTATGTGCTTGTTTGCTATACAATAGATATTGTATTTGGAATCAGATCCTTATTCTTGCTCTATCCTTTTTTGACCGCTGGAAAACCATTATGCAAGAGTCTGATTTAGAAAACTTTCCTCTCTTCATCCCATCAAATATAGGAAGATTTTAATGGGTTCCATTAAGGTGGGCTGATAATGAAGCACACTGTGCTCTGGGACCAATGACAGGCAGACTGGTTCCTATCATGCAATAATTTCAGGGAAGGCTATATACAAGTTTGACCACAAACAATACTAAATATTGGAAAGCAGAAGGATGGTCTACATTTAATTGTCCACCTAGGTTTCTAAGTTCAGTTCATCACAGCTAGGCTGTATTTCTGTCTTACAGATACTGAAATAGCCTATTTCTGCTCGTGAAAATAAAACATGACAGAAAACCAACTGCAAATCTGAACATAAATATGAAGTGGCACCAGCCTTTCTCTTCTTTACATAGCTGACCTAATTTATTTAACTCTGTTTTTTCAGGAAATCATCATTATTTACAAAATTTACTTTTACCTATTTAGTATTCCTTGACTACAACACACAATCTTGTCTTACAGATTATATTTTTTTATTATTATTTATTATTTTTATATAGTGCGAGAGACTTACATAGTACTTTACAGCTGGTAGAATATATATAATCAGAGGGTGAACTGAAATCCCTGCCCCGAAGAGCTTACAGTCTAAAGGCACAAATAAGTATAGAACAGTTAGAAGGTGGGGAGTGGCATGTGCATGGTGTAGCTCCTAACCATGCAGAGTTGGAAATACATGAGAGGGAATATGCCTGCAGGAGATTGAAGGTAATGCCATTCTAAGTGTAAGACTATAATGAAAAAAAAAAAAAAATCATGAGTGTGTATATGAAGTGAATAGGCTCGAGAAATCTGTAATGAGTATGTAGAGAACAAGATATTAATGAAAGAAATCAGAGGCATAGGTAGGTCAAAACTGTGGAGCATTGCATCCAGGAAACCATGAACCATAGCAAAAGAAGTAGAGGTCTCTTAAAAAGGAAATAAGTTATAATTGTAGGAAATGGTGGTTATTTTGGCAGCAGCAACTTGGGGAGAATTTGTGGAGCATGGGAAGAGGAAAAGAAGTCATCAGTTACTGCTGGGAATGATCAGCAGCACATGGAGTACAGTTGATGACATTGGTAAAACTTTAATCTTGGAAATACTGCAGAGGAAAAGATTGACTGTGAAAGGGAAAACCAGAGAAAGTAATTTGACACTGACTTGAATCATCTTAATGATAGTTAAGGAGACTGTAAGCAATGTTATGTGAAGGGGGAAAGGTGGTAGTTGGAAGGAGGTGTGGTTTAGTTATAGATATCTTGACCTTAAGTGTAACTTGACCTTTTAGAGTGTAACAGTATACTGAACAGGTTTGTTTTAATATGTATTTGAACTTAATAATGTAAAGTGGTAGTCTAACACCCACAGGATATCTTCTATTGCAAAAGAAAAACATGAAATACAGCAAGAATGATCAAAAACACATCAAGGTTTCATCAGACTTGATTTCTAACCCCAAAAGCAAGGCAAAATTTAATAATAGGAATGGATGGATTCTTACTCTCTTCTTCCTCGTCCATTCACTAACCAAGCAATGAACTCTTTGGCAGCTTGACCTTCCAAATAAGAGGTGATATCACTGGTATAGGTGCCTTCAGCATGTCTCTCGAATTCAGCATGACGCTTGGAGATCGCATTGCTGAAAGAAGAGTGATACTATAGGAGCAGACTGCATAAGGACTTAATTTTTTTAACCTTTATTGATTTATATTTCCTACCCACCACTAGCATTTCTTACTAGGGAGAGGGGTTTTTTTTCTTCTCAAATTACTCTTGATTTTTCTTTTCCTGATACCTTTCAGTTCTGTGCTATGCAATACAGTTTTGTGCAGAGACGCCTGAACTTGTTCTGAGCAAATCAAATCAGGTGCTGAAAGCTGTATTGGAATGGTGTTCTGCTAGATCAATTAACTATGATCAACAAACTATATTGTATTATAGAGATATTCTTTTTGTTACCTGTTGTGTTCGCCTAAAAATTTCCATTAAGCCACTCCTCCTACCTTCATCTTCATTATTTCTTAGCCAAACTTTTCAGACTTAATTCCTTTCAAATTTACATTTTGAATTGTTTTGTGAACAACCTTTTAATTGTCGTTCTGACCAAGTGATAATCTTGGAAAAATTTCAGGCCTGATCACCTCCAGCTTAATAAAGACAATTGCCTTCTCCCCCCCTACACATCATTGTGCTTCTTTCTCTGAGATAGCACAAGAGCATGTCACGCTGGCCTGTAGGAAGGCAAACTGCACTGAGAAGTAGACATTTTATGGAATATTTTCCACAGATAAGTTCCCTAGCATTTATATTTCATAATTTGCTGAAATTTTAGCATTTCTATTTCAGAATTTCCACCAAATTTTCAGGCCCTCTAGCTCTTCCTATTATTTTTTGTCTTCTTGGGATTTCACCATTCCTCCCAATTTAGTACCATTGCACTTTTCATCAGCATGCTAACTAGAGTTGCTTGGAACATTTTTAATGAAACGTTAATTTTGTTGAGATATGCTGTTTCATTGAAGCTGAAACATTATTACAGATTTGTAACTGATATCGACAGTGTTTTGAATGGAAGGATCTTTGTGATCCGTGCTATCCTCTTTGGAATTTCTGACAAAAGGAAGAATTAGTACAGGTATTGCAACCTGTTTTGCAAAAACACTTACTGGATTTTTGTTTTATTTGTTTCAAATTTCTGGTCCCTCCAACCCTCTCCCAAAAACATTGTCAAGAAACAAAATTCTGGCCTCCAGCAGGTCTTGTGTTCTCCTTTCCTGTAATGAGTTGTTTATGTAACATGGGACCGAGCACTTGGGGCTGAGCATTCTATCATGTTTTATCTGCTCTCTGCAAATTGGTGCCTGGCCATTTTCCTTTCATCAGTCTTCTCACTGGTTTTCTTTTCCTCATCATAATTTTTTGTTTATTTGTTTCAGCCTTTTTCTATACCAAGTTTTCCTTTTTATCTTATTCTCTGCTCTCCTTTATTGCTTGAAATGTCCTTTCCTGACATCTCTTCTCATCCTGTTGCATTCCTTGAAGCCACTGCACATAGCTATAGAACACAGGCACAGGAATAAATAACATAGAGACATTTCATCTTTCCTCTGTAAAAAGCAGGTGCAAGATAATGTCTTTTGATAGGTATTTCTTGGATTATAGTAACATTATAAAGAATACTAGTTGTTTTCTTTCTTGTTTAACAGAAAATAAGCTCAAACTGATTTTGAGTAACAAGTTGTGGCAACTAGAATACCTTGAGAGCTGGTCCGGGAATTTGTCATTTTCTTTGTCCTCCTGTCCTTGTTGGCTGTAGTGGAATTCCACAATCATTAGATCATTATTACCAGTACATTGCAGAGTATACATAAGCTGATAAGATTTTATTGGTTATTATTTAAATATTATGATTAACAACCATGACTGATAGATGAGTATTATAAATAATTTGAGGCTTATGAATTTAAATTAATACAATATCTAGAAATCATTACTTTATACTTTAAAAAACTTCCACAGGCATTTAAAAGCATTAATATCATAGATCTTTGGATTCTGTGGACTGATCTTTTCTAGAACACAGGGCATACACTTACATGCTTTTATGTTATTCTTGCTCTCAGCTTGGTAGCTTGTGTTTAATCAAAGTATATTTTCAAAAAACATGACAACTCATGCCTTAACAGTATACCTGTGATACTGGGAAAGTATCCAGTGGTCAGCAAAACTTAAACCTTAGCTCCCTTTTCACAAATGAAACTTCAGGATTAGAGTATCCATAGATAGGACTAAGTTTTATTAAGGCCTAATGGCCCAGACCTTTACCTTTTATTTACATATCTTATTCCTATTGAACTTATTTCATTCACAGAAACAATCTGTCCCAAAGAGGCTGAGATAGTATTTTTAGATGGCATATCAGGTAACATACTGATACTACACTTGATTTATCCAAATCCTTTTGACAGATTTTACACATATTCCCCATTCTATATAAGATTTCCTTATGTACTTTACTTATTTGTGGATTATACATGGTCTGTGATGGGAAGCTGAAATCAAGAAACTGAATTCAGCTAGACTTTTGGCTGTTGGAGATCTATATGGAGACCTATAGCAACATGACAAATGTGGACATCTATAGCAATGTGACAAAAATGCTTACCCATTTCTTTTAGTGCTCATTAACCATTGCACAAAGTCCTGAGCTCGTCTAGTGTCCAAGTACTTGCTGTAATCACTGGTGAATGTGCCTTGTGAGTGACGTTTCACTTCATTCATCTGTCTAGAGTCATCTAATGGTTCAGACTGGGAAGCTTTGAATGATCTGTGAAAAGGTTTGAACTTGTTAATTGGCAATGGTTATAGTACATTCTGCATTGACTTTGCTTTTAAAAATACTATTTTATACTCTCGCAAAGTGAAAGCAAGTGGCATATTGATCACTAGCTGGCTAGTAAAATGAATCAACATAGCAGATTGGATACTGCACAATTACAAGGTCTTCTTGGATAACTCAGTCAGCTATTGTTTGTAATTCCAAAAACTTGTGTGCTATACTTTGCAATAGTAAAAACTTTTGCCAGTTCCAATGGTAGATTAAGTAATGTGTCATGGTATATAAAAAACTGTCTTCAAGTCATAGTATGTTTTGCTTCAAACTAAAACAAAACTTTGAAAACAAAGCTCAGGCCAGGTGTTTCTGGAAGTTTGATCTAAAGAATTTACCTTGATTTCTCCTCTGTATCCTGAAGAGGATTTTGCCAGCTGCTTTGAACTATCATTAAAAGGAGCCCAGCAACAAAATAAACACTTTTCATTTTCATTGCCTGTGAAAACAGAAATAAGGCAGCAAAGAAAAATATAATCATCTTTACATACGTCTGAATCAATTATATTGAAAAGAGACATCTTTAATGCTGATCTAAATGTGAAGGTATTCAGACCCTGTGAGGATGGGGTCCATGTCCAGTGGCTGAAGACTGTAGTGCCTTGGGTAGGCATTCAAAAGACATAGTCTCTGTACTAGTCTTTAGGCTCTAGTCTCTATTCTAGAATGCAAGGTGAGCTGAAAGCAACTGAATCCTTATTTTCTTTTGTAATATGAGGATAGAGGTCTGTATCTCCTTTGCTCTGTGTTCTGCTGATGGTAAGCATTAGATCTGTTTCTATAATATTGCTTTATTGTAAAACTAGAGTATTAGTGTGACTTTTTTTTTTCCTAGCTCATTCACTAGAGAAAAAACAAAGCAAAACTTTGTCAAGAATACTGTCACATTAGCAGCTCCCCATTCTTTCCTTCTGGCTCTCCACCCTCCTTTTAAAAGATCTTTTTTTAAAATAACAGATATTGCAGTAGTAGGCATCTGGACTTAATAATAACTTATAAATAGGTGTGACTCCTTAGAAAAAAAAAACCACCAAACCACACACTGGCTTGTCTTCAATTCATGATATGATATATCAAGTTTTGCTTGATGCACTATTGACATAATACTTTATTTCAGCTTAAGGGCTTCCATTATGGGGCTATATGGGATGTACAACGTATGAGGTATATACTTCATATTAATGGTAAAAAAACAAAGCAGAAAATATTGTATCCCAGATGTAATTCTTACTGTTACAGGTCATTCTATTGGCTTCAACCATGTAACAGAAATGGCCATATTATTATGTGCATCTTCATCACATGCACTGTAATAACTTGACCAGTCTCAAGTGACTTCAGTGTGAGATTATTCAATGTAAACTGGAGTGTTACAATCTGTACAAATGCTTTGGTGATCCATATCCAAGCTGTGATTCCCTTACTTGCATTAGTGACTGGTTTACTCATGCAAGTAGTGCAGTAATAACTTTTAGTGAATAGTTACCAATGGGAATAAGGCATTCTCTAATCTCCTAATTATGTGTACAATTTTCATTATTTAATGTAGTATTATTAGTCTGTTGACACATGATCCCCTGCAGGACAAACTCTGTTGAACAAAAAAACTATTCATTTGAGGCTCACAAAACCCTATGCAAAATGGACTATGAGCAGCTAATAGCTAATAGATTCAAAAGTGCTTTGCATAAACAGGAAATGAGAGGAAATCTACTTTAGAAAATCAACTAGTATATATTGTTTATTTGTAGTTATTTTGGATCACTTAAATTTATGGAATGAATGTATCGAAAAGGAAATTAATTTAAAATTTGGTTAGGTACTTTTGACCTTGACAAAGAAATTGAATATGCCATTCATTCAATGGCTAAATGCTCATTCATTGAATAGTAAATGCTCATTAATTCTAACTTTAAAATCAGTATGGATCACAATATTAATCTGCTGTGAAACAACAAATGTTGCAATGAGTTCACATCAGCAAAATGTCCCTGGAAATAAATTCATCATGTACTTGGACTGATACTTGTGTATCTGAAAGAGCCCTTCTGCCATCCATGACACTTCCCTATGGAAGTTTATGTTACAGTCTGAAAAACAAAGGGAGACAAGAAAGGTGAGTGCATTGAAGTAAAGCGATAGGTGGCAAAGTAAGATCCAGCCAAAAAACACCCTCCCCACTAAATGTAATCTGTGCTGAACTCCTTCGGCTTCACTGGATGAGTTATTTATTGAAATTCAATAATTTATAAAATAAGGCAGTTTGAGTGAAAATGTATCTATTCTCTATTGTAATACCATGTCACAACAGGCTGAATCTAAATATACTATGGCTTGGAGGAAGCCATAAAAAAGTTATGAAGGAATGATGTGTAGAGAAGGTGCAGATTACTTTGTCTTGAAATTTAGAGTTGGCTCTGAACTCAGCAGCGCAAATGGGGAGAGCTATATGAACATCTCTGAAAAAGTAAACTCCTGCATCAAAAACCTTACTGCTGTAGGACTCAACTCTGCTCCAGTAGTCTGCCCAGCTTCAGAGCAGGTTTTTTTATGAAATCTGTTTCTTCCATCTATTATAAAATAACTTATAGTTGGAGATGCAAAGCTTGACTGTTGGCAGGCATTTTTGTTATGGTTAGGAATAATGTATTGCTTTCAGTACTTTGAGAGGCTTAATTTTTAAAAGAATCTTAATGGATAATATAAATATTTACTAGAATACCTCAGTGTCAGCATCAAAATATTTAAGGCAATCAAAATCTTAATCAAGTCTTAATCAAAACCATGAAAATAAATTGATGAATATAGGATTTTCCGGTGGATTGTTAAGCAATGGAGTCAATTTCCCTCTCTCCACCAGAAGCCACTGCCAACATTGCTCATTTTTTCATCAGTGTGCATGGAGACTCTTTTCTGCCTTCTGTAATGTCCTGATATATGAGCTTTGATTCCTACACTTGCACGTATCTTCCTATATGTGCAACATATATCGTAGTGGTCATGTAGTCAGTCCTATTATAACCCTAACTATAGTATTGAACTCTCTTTTCACCATTTCATCTGGAGCTGTAATTTGGTGGTGCAACACTGACATCCAATGTTTATCCCAAAGAATGCATAGTTTCACATTTCATAGGCTTCCAAAAATGGAACAAAAGCTCTGCCTATTCTTTGGGAGATGACTCTGCTGTGGTCACAAATATGGTTTGATTGTAATGTAGTGACCATCATGCTAGCTGATATGGCTGTGAATGAGTTAACTTAGACACCAAATAAAGTCTGGCTATTGCACCATACCTGAATACATTTGCCCTGCTTAATGGTGTGCTAGCAGTTTGGTATACTTTTACTTAACCTGAATAACTAAAGAAAAATACTTTACAGCTGCCTGTAAATTTGTTAAACCATGATACAGATTAGACATAAACCTAAGTCACTGAGGTGGAATGAAAGAAATAGTCTAGTCATTAATCCAGCCTCCTTATAGTAATATTAGACACCAAAAGCTATTCTTCTATATAAAAATTATATAAAAAAAAATTCAAAGCCCATTGCAGTCAGTATACAGATTTTTGGTGATTTCAATATATCTTGGATCTAACTCTTATGCCTTAGTCCTATAGAAATTTCAGGTGAGAACAAGTCCCACTGGCTACTTTATGCCTTAAGAATATGTTTAAAATTAAATGTATGTTTAGCTTCTTTCTAAATTTTTCAGAATCAAAATCTGGGGAGATTACTAAAAAAAAAAAGATGTATAAATGCAGTTTTAAAAAATTAATACTATTTTCAAGTAAGAGAATCCATATTAATGAAATAAGCATTTTCAAAAGCTATTAAACTTCTGTCAAATATGTTGTTTTAAAAATTTAGAATTAGTTTTGTTTGTTCAACATTTAGGATTTGCTATTTGGAATCCAAACCAGCAACAGGAGTTTTTGACAAGTTAAAGAAGCTACAGTTTTTAAAGAAGTTGTTATTTTATTCTTGGGAACAGAAACATGTTTTGTAAAGAAAAAGAGATGATCACCAAAATAATATTTGTTTACTTTATTCCTGCTAATCCTGCTAATAAATTAATTTCCTGATCAGAAGAAAGGTTTTATTTGCTCTAAGTTATTTAGGTCACCAGTAGATACTGCTAAAAACTATGCAATCTTATTGTCAAGGTGCAGGAAGACTAAGGCTAATCTTACCCAGAGAATTTTTGTTTCTATGTATATTAGACTAATAGAAACATTTTAATTTCTGATTGGAGATGAAAAACTTAACACACGTCCATTTGAACCACCAGAAAGTATGTAACAAATATGTCTCTCTAATCTTGAATAATATTCAACTTATTTGAATATTATTTCTGTGATCATCCTGATTTTGCTAGTTTTTCCAATATATATTACTGCAGATATCTTTTGTACCTATGTGCAATTTTAACTAGCTTAATTTAATTGAATTTTGAAAAAAGAATCTTTCAAAAAAGATTTGTATCTATTTCCAGTTTAAAAATACAAATTATGGAGTTACAGTAGTAAAAAAGGGAATATTTTCATATGAAAAATAGATGAATGAATAAAACAGATTTCTGTTGACATGAAACTTTGCAAATAGCAATTATTTGTGATTATAAATAAATTACTTTTTCGGGTAGATGTACTTTAAATCTACTTTACCTAACATGCTATAAAGCCTTGTGGGAAGTTTTGTAAAATATAATGATTCTAGTCTAAACGAAATCCACAGTAGGATGGAAGACTAAATTAAATTTTATACAACAATCACAATAACTATTGAAAGGCTTTAATTTTTACTTTTGTGATATAAAATTTCCATTTCAGACCTTACAGTGATATGAAAATAATTGCTTGAGACAAACTAATCTAAAAGTAGGGCAGTGGAGTGGCAATCTGTAGGGTGATGGAGTGACAGTCTCTCCTGGATAGTTTTAAATCGGTGTCTATATAAACCCACTCAATTTGTTTGCATTCTGCTAATTTAATCCCCACTGATTCCTATTTAGGCAGTATCTATAAGGAGTAAATATTTTTAAACTCATGTTCATTAAATATCTCTAGAGAAGATACTAAAGGAGATAAAAATATAAAAATCAATAATTATTTATCTCACATTAAAATTCTTGCTACAATGCATGTCTTTCATGTTCTCATGGTTAATCTTCCTTCTTTCAATTGCTCCTGCAACCCAAACAGTTGATTGCCCTTTTTCAGATCATTCTCTGTTGAACTAATTCAATACATTGAAAGATTTAAATGATGATGTCATTAACTCCAAACATCAATAGCTATAACCACAGAAGAAACCACCAATTTGCTGAAAGATCCTGCACCTCTATTGCAAACCTTGGACAATACAATTCAGATAATGCACTCAGCTTTCTCAAACAAATTGTACTGGTAGTTCATATAGATCTTACCTTTT